AGAATGGAGAAAAGTTATATTCTCTAATGTGATAATTAAGCATCAGAAATAAGATCAATATTAATAATAATTCCATTTATTATTTTTTAAATACATATATAAAGATATATGTGGGTTACTTGCCAAATGTAAGCTGTGGTAATGCATAAAAATTCAGAATAAGAGTGAAGTATATAGTTCTATGGTAATATGACATTCATCAATTATATCCAAAAGCAACCCTTAAGTAGTGAAGTTCAGTGCTGGGAAAGTCAAACGTATCACGGCCACCTCTGTTTTGTACAGTGGTAACTACAAAGCCATTTAATCAGTCTTTTTCCTAAAGCCTCATGTCTTAAAAAAATCATTTTGTCTTAATTTGTTTTTGAAAGGTACAAGGAGGCTCGACTAGATTAAAAGAAATCAGCAAATCTTCAATACTGTCTTCAAAAATCCCTGAGATAATGCCTATGTGATACTTTGGTGAACCCAAAATTGAGACCATCGCCTCACTCACTCTCAAAAAGAAGCCTGGTCACCTGAAGAAGGAGACATAAAAAAGTGGAACAGAAAAAGGACAACAATTAAACCCTGTTCTTCTCATACGTGAAGAATTGAGTCTTTCAATGACCACAGCCACGCTTCAAAGCTGGGATGAAAGCGGCCATGGGAATTCAAGCCATTGATTCTTAAAGACACAATTCAAAGGTAGAAGAAAATTTCAAAAAATGAAAAGGACATAAAACAGCATCTTTCTGAACTATATTTGAAATGCGTCCTCTCCAGCACTTCCTTCTCCTCAGGTCCTTAGGAAAACAAAGTCATCACAACTTTTTTTTTCTTTTTACCAATAGCACTCTTTCCAGAGCACACATTTGAAATCTATTTTACAGCCATCAAAGCATTTCTCAAAAGAGCCCTCAATAAGATATCTGTGCTGATATGAAGCCACCATACACAGAGAATAATATATAATATAGGCCCTAGGTATATGGGACCCAAAACAATGTATAGCAAAATTGTGTATTTTAGCAAGGCTCGATTTATACCTGGCTAAATTCCGTCACAGTCATGATCACTTACTAGGCCCTTCAGGGTGACCCTATAAAAATGTTTTCTTTTTATTAGTTGTAGTTTTCTGTATATTCTCTGAAAACATTGCTTATTAGTATTTCACAGAGTGAATATGTGACTTTCTTTTTTTTTGTTTTTTAATTAAGCAAAAAATAAATGCATAAAGGATCTTTTCCTCTCTGCTTTCTGCTTAATATTTCTGAAGGAATAAAGACACCCCTGGAAGACATCTGGAAGATTTCCTGACTGAGGGGAGTGCAGGTGTGCATGGCAGGAGCGGTGTCTGAGGCGGATTTTGGGTCTGTTTCTGACCATCTGAGGAGGACTGGTGACTAACTAACTGGAACAGTTTCTTATCCTCTGCACCCAATCAGCAGACAAGTTCAAACCGCTGCACAGGCCGGCCAGCCGTTCTCCTGGGGAGGGCAGAGGAGTGACTAATGCTCTTTGTTGTCCTGCTGAGGCCGAGCCGAATCATCTCAGAAAATGTTATTCAAGAGCACAATGAACTTGCGGCTGCTTCAGAGGGCGAGCCCGCCATCACCCTGCCGCTCTGGACACTTTGGAGGCAGCTCTTCATGTCTCCATTAGCATGTACTGCTTGGAAGTAAGAACTCCAAGAGGAAGTGCACTTCTGTCCCCAAGGTCCCTTGAGGACTCCGGCAGATGACCAGGGTTAGATTTAAACAACAGCACGCCCCGGGCCCCCACCTGCCCTGCCTATTTTTGCCCAGGGATCCATTGTCAAACATTTAAGATCTTAATCAATCTTCACTCTGACCTCCCAGACCCCAAGGAAGATGGATGAGGAAGGAGGTGACCTTTCACCTGTTCTTCTATTTGTCCTGACACAGCATACCCATTGAAAAGACAATTGGGGAGGACCTGCTGCCAGAGTTCTGAAGCCTTGCCAGTTCTCCATTATATCCCTTCTTAAGCTCTCTCCACAGCTCCTCTTTCCTGCCTGCCCCCCGCCCCCCCAAATCCCTTTTCTCCTACTCAAAGGAAAGTTTGCTTTCCTTCAGGGGAAAAGAAATGGCACTCTCCAAATATCATTTGCAATATGAAGTGTGAAAATGGACATTATTCTTTGTTAGGACAAGGGCAATTCTTCCTGTCTTTAGCCCTGACTTCCAAGGGTGATTGGGAGATGAAGACCCTTTGGTTTGCTTTAGCTCAACACCTTTTGAAGTCTTCAGCTATGGCCTTGGGAAGAGAAGAGTGATAAAAGAAATGCTAGTATTAACATCAGTTTCATGCTGTATGATGCACAAGGTGACTTTTACCATTCTGAAAGCTCCATGTCTTCATAGCAACTCCATAAAATAAGTACAGATATTGTCAACCCACTTTATAGATGGAACAAATCAAGGCTCAGAGGGCCTAAGAACATGTTCAAGGTCGTACAGCTAAGTGACCAAATTGAGACACAGTTTCCTCGTGTTGATGTTCCTTCTGCTCCTCTTGGCCATTTCTCTGAAACCCAATAATGTTGTCAAGGATGGAGATGACCATTTTTATTACTCTTTAGACTTTTATAGTCTTTAAAAAAGTCTCACCTAGGTTTGGAATTTAAGAACCCTTTGTCATTCAAGTTGTTCCTTTCTTCCTAAATTCATCAGAGATTTTTACTGGGAGTATAATAAACAAAGTGCAAGGTTTTGTGCAAAAAAAGTGTCTTCTTAAAAGAATTAATCATTTTATGAGTAGAATAAAAACCTGGGGAGCAGATGTAGGAACACCGAAGAGTTTCAAAAATGGCTCAGCCGACCTTCCCCTTCCATCAACTACCTGACCCTGTGCCAGGAACAGTTTGCTCAGAAATGAACTGGACCTAAAACATGGAGTCGCTCCTATTCCATGAACCACATGATTAACTAGAGTCCCAAGATTATTTCAATAAAACAAATCACTAACATGTTCAATTGCCTTTACATTCATTTCCCCCTCCATCTTTTTCTCCTTTTCTTCTAATTTGGGTTGTAAAACTGTCATGGAGTTTCACAATGGAGCAACATATGAGTTACCGGGCTCTGTGACAATTGAAAATCAATGACATTAGGTACAGAGAGATTCTAATGCCAGACATGTGAACATTTGATCAGGAAATGAAAAGACAATGATATACATATATCTATATATATTTGTATACATGTATATTTGTATATATATATCTATATAGATAGATAGATAGATAGATATACAAATCCTGACATGTGAAGATATGCATGTCCCATCTTCAAAAATCAAAAGGCAGAATAATTTACTTTAAAATGTGACGTGGTGTCATCACCTAGTCCCTTTCACTATTCCTTCTTTGACTATCGTAATCTGTGGACCAATAACAATGTACTCCCACACTTTCTAACATTATTCCCAGAGTAAACTCCAAGGTTTCACTTTGGTACAAGCTGATCTTGTAGGTGCTAAGTCAACAGCAAACTTTAAACCCCAACTTTCAAATGTTCAAGTTCACAAACACACCTTTTTACTCTAGGTCAACAGAAAAGGCAGTCAGCCTTTACTCTTTTATTTACAATTAAATGAAAAGACAGTCATTGTTAGCTACTCCTAGAAACAACTACAGCAAATCAAGAATGACACTTTGGAAAAGCATAAATCACGAAAGGACAAACGTATACCTCTATAACACCAAATTATCAAAAAATGTAATTTTTTAGGCTATAACTGTCGGTTTCCAGCCAGTCAGCTGGACTGCCCGTAGTTAATCCCACCGTGTCATTTAGATGGTTGCAATGCCAGACACACTGTTCAGCAGGCAGTTCTCCAGACTCTGTAATCACCGAGTCAGGTGGACGTGGGCAACCCAGTCCACGGCTCGACAATCACCCTGAGAAAAGATTAATCTGATCTGTTTCATAAATGGGACCAGTTACACGGTTTCGTAGTAACCACAATAAGACTGGCAGCAGAGACTACTGATAGCCACTAAGAATAAATACCAAGCAAAAATAAAAACCTTGGATACTGACTTTTTAAAGCCTTAAACCACACATGACGTGAACGATACATGTACAAATGAATTACTCTCATCCCTTACTCAGAAACAAAGCATTTTTTTAAGAAAAAAACTTTACAAATTCCACCCCACCCCCGCCCCACATTCTGACCAAAAGGGGACACATAGGAAGAAGGAATTACACACACTGAACTTGAAGTGAGAAAAAAATCACTTTAGTAATAATGCTACCCAGAAATTAACGTGATAAAAATACCTAGATTTCCTTAAACACCCAATAATCAAAATGGATCACAATTTAATATTCCCTCTGACCACAGATCAAATGAGAAAACCATTACTAGTTCTTTATCACCTCCAGGGGAAATAAATCATCCAGATTAATCTCACTGAGGAATCCTAGAGCAAGGGCTGCTCCGTGGACCAAAGCCACTCGAAACACTCCCAGTCGGTATCATTGAGTCACGTCCACTCTGGTCCACAGAGAAGGGGGCGCTGGGCGCTCCTCACACAGTGTGAGGGAACTGGAACACAATCCTAACTTCACGAGTAAATTGATTCTGTACATACGCAGGCGACCGGAGATATTTACCATTTTATCAGGTCTACAGGCAGGAATACCATGGTTTTAAAATCCGTCCACCCCCTTTAAGGAAAGGATCAATCAAGCCCATTTCTTCAGCTTGATCAACTCCATTTCCGAGGGTGCATCTAGCCAGTTCAGATCTAAGTGCCTGTTAGCAAATGTGTCTGGCCTGCTGCTGATCACGGCAGCATCATTTACCTTGTCAGTATCAGTACAGTCTCAGCCTTGCCACCTGGAGCTACAGCACTTACTCATTAGACCCCTCGGTCCCGCCACACCCCACAGGGGCTGCTAATTACTGGCTCTACTCCGTTTAGTCTCATCTCTGATTTAATTATGTGCACTAAGCCCTAATGAAAAGTACAATATGGCTCGTCTTACCTTGGCATTCTCCATTTCGTTCTTCATGCCCGGCATTGCACAGGCAGTTGCCAATGGGTACCAGCCACTCGCCATCTGCCCCACAGTACATCTTTGGCACATCCTTCTCTTCTGAGTTGTTGACACAGGAGCCTCGGACTTCGACCAGAGAAGACGTATCAGCCCCCGTGATGGTGTCTGGAAACTGGGCCAGATTGCGAACCGTGAGTGGACACTTCTTATAGAACACACGGACCGACACCAGGGCAATGCAAGCGCCCACATCCTGAAAGGCCAGATAAAACCCCTTTTTGCTCAATGGCCCTACATCTCGGATCTCGGTGTTCAACTTCATGATGCGATCGCCAATGTCCACTTGGGTGAAGCTCTCGTCAGCGGCGATGGTGTCAATCTTGGCAAACTGGCTCTCTCGAATGAAACGCTCTCTGTCGTTGTCGGATTCATAGTAGTACAGGTTGAATGTCTCCTTGCAAGTCCCCATGACGCCTGGAAGACTATTGCAGTCCCTCAGGGTGAACTTGATCTCAATATACACCCGCTGAGCCCCCTCTCGGGTGATCCAGTCAGTTCGGAGCCAGTTATTCTGGCTAGGTTCCATCACGTTGCACACTTGGTAGGTTCGGATGGGTGTGTTTTTTTCATCCATAATACTCACTTCCTCCCACTGCAAAGGTCCAAAGGAAATGTATCAGTTATAACACTTCATCACGCAGTGATTCGCCAATCTTACTTTACTCTCATACGACTTCGATTCTTACTAATTTTTTTTCAGTAAGAAAACTACTGAGCACCAGTCCCCACAGGTAAAGCATGTTATGGAGGGGATGAGACAATATTTTATTGCGGAAGTGTTTTTTTTTAATTGTTTCATTCTTTTGCCTTAAATCCAGGGGCAATGGTGGATTTATTACTTATGAGTTTTCAGCAGTTCCTTGCGGTGGTCTAACAACCTCAAATTCACCTATTACAACAGCTACAATTTGAAGTGGCAACAGTTCAAATTTACTCATAAATGAAAAACTTGTATGTGTATTGTTTCAACAACTGAACAGAGACCTGCAAATTAACAGCAGGAAGAGCAGAGCTTGCCAAAGGAAGACAATTATCAGTTAATTAGTGGTGCTCCTGTCAGAACTTTGCTCTCTAATACCTAAAAAAGAAAAAAAAACTCAGTGGATTTCTCGCTCTCTCTCTCTCCTCTTTTTTTTTTTTTTTTTTTTTTTTTTTTTGGCACCGTTACTACTCTTTAAAGGGGGAAAGAAAATCTCAGGATTCTGAGTTTGGTCTTTTCTCTCCTGGGAAGAGAAAGACTAAACTTCCTGGTCGGGCTTCTCAGATGTGCTGTCATTTGTAATGGTGGAACATGTCAGGCGCGTGTACTCAATGAAATGTTTGCATGTTGTTCCTGCTTTTAAAACATATACACATAAGTAAACAAGAGTGCCCGCCATGCTTTGCTTCTAACTGTTCTGGGGAGATTGAAACTAAAACAGTAAGTAGTATGTGAGAGTAAAAGCTCAAGAAATTTTAAGGAGGGATGGTTGAGTTTCCCTTGTAATCTACTTCTTAACAAAGATCCTAATGGCGGGACAGTCTGAAGTTAGTATGACCAAAGCAGTCATTTTACTCTCTCTGTACTTTAAAAAATAACCCTAAAAGAAGCAAGATGGTTTTGGGGCTCCTGCAAGGCTCTTCGTTAACATCTACAAAGAGTGCATTTATATAGATCTGGTGTATCTCCGCTTAAATATGTAACACATGAATATCATTAAAAGAAAAAGAGGATAGTTTTAAAAATGTGTGTTCTCTAATAGCTCCACTTAAAGCTCCATTCAACAAAATGAGTACCCAGAGTCATACTGCATCTTTTAACGCGCTTCCCATCTGTGCATTGGAAAACCGTTAATGGATGGAAATGTTACTATGTGAAGGACCATAATGCATAAAATTCTGTATCCCTCTCATCTGCTATCATCGTGAAAGTTGGAACTGGGAGGAATAAGTACCCTGTGGTGATTAAAATTTCTTTTTATCCACTAACTAATAAATCACCAGTAATTTAATTATTTGGGGAAATTCATGTAAATCCAAAAATAGATCCCCACCTTAAAAAAAACCCCACTCAGCGTGTTTCTCATCTCAGAACAAAGGGAATATGGAAAAGCACATTCATCAATGTAAATGAAAGCACAGGGGTATCTCCAGGAAGTTCACAGGGGATAATTCAGGTGGAACATGAATTTTCCAGCCTGAATGTGATTGTCTAAACACACTGATCAATTCACCAGAACAATGACAAATATCCCCTTAGTTTTATATTTTACAATCAATGTCAGAAACTCAATATGCTCCTTTAAATGAACACTGCCAAGAAATTAGGGTTTTGCTACAATGTTGCCATCAGGAGCCATTGCTTTCCATTATTCTCATGTTCCATTTAGTTGCTCTGATGCAAAAACAAAAGAGTTGAGCCTTGTCTCTGACTATAGTTTAGTTTTTTGTTGGTGGCATCGTCAAATAAGATTTTTTTCTTTTTCAAAAATAACAAATAAATGTCATTGGGCAAACCCTCATCCCAAGTTCCCAGCAAACACGTTATCTGTCCTAACTCTAACTAGAGATTTCAGAATAATTAAAAGACTCAAACGTGCTTTTTTCCTTCAGCTGGAAAGAACTTTTGAAAGCCAGTCTATCCTAACTTGGTAGACGTCTAATTCATCTGTCACTCTACATCTGAGCCTGAAAAAAAAAAAAAACTAAGTCCTCTTCAAATACAAAATGGAGAGATGAATTAATTTTGTAATTTGGCACATAGTTTCTCAGCAGCTACTATATAGTTTGGGATGACTATTGCTCCCCTCAAATAAACCACTCACAATAATACTTAGGATGTTACACACATTTGAGGAAAGGAAAAACTACCTACCCCAGTCCATAAAAAGTTCTGGGTTGTATACAATAATCTGCATACATAGTGTTTTTTAAAGAGACTTCAGGAGAACCAAGAGAAGCTTTATGTCTAGGAAGAGTGACCAGGTGCTTTTTCAGCAGTTCGGGGAAGGGGGTGGGGGTGGCGGAGTGTGTGGAGTCTGCAGCATATTAAATTGCAGTAAAAGCTTTCCAGAAACTAGATAGACCATAGACTGTACTCAGAAATGTGTCACTCCTCGCCTTTAAATAGGCCCACGTATATTTCGTGGAACGAGTCAGTTGCAGAGTCATAATTTGATGCATTCTCTCTTCAAGCCTGAGAGCAGCCAGTAAGAAAAAATAAGGCTCATTAAAAATTTTAATGCAAGTACGAACACCTTCCATCCTCTATGTAGCAGAGAATTCTAATGCATTCAACCTACAGAGCAAGAGCCATCGTGCAGCATGGGAAAGCCTTCCTGAATCACTGACCTTTCCAGGGTATAGGATTAACAAGAGTCTGACTCTCACAAGATAAAGCTGTACCTTTCTTCGCATTCAAAGGAAAAGGCCAATTGCCTGCAATCAGCGGTGAATACCGCCTGTCTACACTGCCAGAGGCCTGCCAATCATTCTCCTTCCCTTTAAAAAAAATGGTTTTGAGGCCAGACTGGAATTTTTCAGCAGAGACCCAACTAACTGCAGTCAAGTTCAGGCAGAAAAACAGGAAGGCCAGGCAATCTCTCCATTTCATTTAAAATGGATTTACAAGAAAGGCTTTGACAGAAAAAGCCTCAAACGCTCCATTTTCATGACTGTCATATTTTTGAAACTCAGTCTTCTATAACAGTTTCTATGAATCTTTATTTTTCTTTTCATCTTTTATTGCTTATTCAATGGACAGATTGAAGCACCATATTGGGGGGCTGGCATTACATTTTTTGCCTGATAACACCCCTAATCTCCCTTTCATCCCTATTGTTTTTAATCACTTGGCTCAGTCCTAGACTATCAGGCATGTAAATGTAGGATAATATGCTTAAATTTTTGAAGGACTTGAGAGTTGTTTCAATTTGGCAAAAGCCAGAAGTACATATCGTACTCATTTCTTTCCAAAGCTGCTTCATTCTGACCTGTCATTAAGGGGTGAGGTTGGGGTGAGAGAATGTGGCCAGTGACCTAATTCCGTCCTCTGAATCTCCCAGGGGAGGCAATGATGGCAACTTTGAGAAGAAATGCACAGTGCATTTTCTTTCATGCTTACAATGCAGCCTCCTCATTCCCAAAGATCCAAGATGCCACATACTTAAACTTTTCACATTTAGCATCAACAATGCTCAAGCTCGTGGGGTTTGGTGCATGTATTGCACCCCTGGCACAAGTTCAGGAGGCTTCCTCCCAGCGTGCCAGAGCGCAGCAGCTGATTTAAGGTCGCCCTGGGAGCGAGGGGAGGCGCTCCTGCTGTTTGTGCACAGACCTGAACCTGCAACGGGTACAATGAGAGGCTTTTCTCTCTGGTATCCTAAGTTACTCATTTTCCTCATCTGGAAACAGAACAGTTGCTCTAACCTTAACCCTGTCAGTCCTCCATAGCCATCACAGTAAAATAGGCATAAATTCTAATTTGGTCCCCAGATTGCATTTCTTGTCGGTATTTTAGTTTTAAATAGGCATCTAAGCCTATACCTCTACCAATCTCCTAATTTCGAAAACTCTTTCTGCCCTTTTGGTTTCTACTTCTTCCATGACAGACCTATCCTGGGGGAGTATAGGATTTCTGCAACAAAGCGTAATTCCCTTCATAGGCCATGGCGGAAATCTGACCCCCTCACCACAATCAACAAGAATCAAGCCATTAGGACGCTCAGAAAGTTGCTAATCACTCCTTTTTTACCCTCTGGAGCGGAGAGCCACTTGGCACTTACCCCTCCTTCCAGGGGGCTTGCTATCCACCCAAGTTCGCCCTGAACGGATCTGGAATCCAATAAGGTAACTGCAAAAAAAACAAAGAAAAATAGATTAATTTCCAATTGCAAAAAGCCAATACTACAAAAACCATTTGCCTGAGCGTTTCCATATGTGCCGAGGGTGTGCATGTCCCACTCTGATCAAAACCTAAACTTGGTCTCACTTATGTAAATAATCATTACTCACTTGATCTTCTCCCCTCTTTAAATCTGCAAGTTCTTATTTATTTAACTTGCTTAGCATTTAAAATTCCATCCCAGGACTTGGTTGATTCATTTTCTAAAAAGAGTGAATAGAGAATCTCAAGTACAATTCGAAAAATAAATATATCTATGTAAGGCAGTTGCACTCCAGAGCAAAATCTGCATTCATCTCTGTCTGGTGTCTACTGGAGTTATTTGTTTTTACAAGTTTCAGATGACCGCATAACTCATCATCATGGTGACAGAGCCACAAGTGAATTCTATCTGAGAGTACCCAAAGGGTCATGAAAAGGCTTTCTCCCTTTCCATTTTCCCCCTCCACCGCCAAATAAATCGGCCCTGGATATGGTATCCGCTGCTTTTTTAAATATCAAAGTTTCAGAAGGGGGTGGGGGTGGCAGCGGTGTAGAATTAGAATGCAAATGAACTGAATGATTTATTCTCTTCCCCAGGTCTTTTTGAGGACAATCGGAGACTCCTCCTCTAGCCGAGAGGAAATCACTGGTTTGAATTTTAGGTATAAAGTGGGGTGGGTGAGTATACGACTGCTACACCTAGAGGGTGCATCAAAGCTTCGGGGCACCCGGAGCGCGGCCACCGGGCTGCTGTCTGCCGCCCACGCTGGGGCAGTCCTGGGCACCTAGGACACTGAAAAGGACGCGGCCCATTCCTTCCCTCTCCACGTCCTCTTTCCCACCGAGATCTGCAGGCCTGGGGGTCGAAAGGCCCATCTCAAAGGAACCAGTGGGTTATTAATTTAATCGGCGAGGCTGCCTGTTCAGGCTGGGGGAGGGGTGGGAATAGGAAGCCTCAGTTCTTGCTCTTGCGCACCCCAACTCTCAATCTCGCCCCCCGGCCTCTGAATTCTGCCCAATCTCTCCTCTCATTTCACCACGAAGAGAAAGGAGTCGAAATCAGCCTCTTTCTCCCGGTTTTCCCGGGAAGCCTGAATTCCTGGGGTCTGTTAATTATTTCAAAACGTAGAGCCTTCCCTGGGTCGCTCCCGCCCCGTAGTTGCGCCCCCATCGCCGGCCTCATTCTCTCTTCTGGGTCCCTAGAGAAAGGCCCGCTACATCCATTTGGATTTATGTAAGGTGGATTAGGGACACAAAGGGAACAATAAGACCCAATTTACAAAAAAAGGGAGGGAGTAGAAAGGGAGGGTAAAAGGGAGAATAGGAAACGTGATGGGAATAAAAAGCAACAAAATGAATTAATTTCCAAGGGGGAGGAGGGGTTCGAGAGGGGGTGACTCCCCCCCCCTTCTTTCTACATCAGCCTACAGCTCCATCAGCGCCTTTTGTGTCTAGGGCGAAGTTTCGCTTCCAAAAAAAAAGGCAAGAAATGAGTAAAAGAAAAATCTGCGTCGGATGCAGTGAGGTCTTGGGGGACGTCCTAACAAATGGGCAAAGTAACCATCAGAATGTGGGATCCACGATTCGGATAAGAAAATTAATCGTGGGGATAAAAACGCGGCAGCAGCTGAGGGGGCACCAAGAGCCGCGTCGGAAGGAGGGAAGAAAGAAGGAGGGTGCGAGAGCGCCCCTTTCCTCCCAAGCAGCGCCTGCCGGCAGGTGTGTGAATCTCTTCGAGCCTCCGTCTGGCGAACTCTGGGTACCGGCTGCCCAGCCAAGACTAAGTTGGTTTCTGGCTCCCTCCTTCGGAACAGGGAAAATAATGGATTGCACAGGATAGATGGAAAGATCCGGAGAGACAGACGAAGGAAGGATGGACAGATGGATGGACGGACGAATGGATGGGGGTGGTGGTGGGGAGGCGTGAACGAACAGGCGAGACAGAGACTAGGTTAGATGAACGCAGGCTCCAGTACAAGCATTCGCTGGAACGCGCGCACGCAATCGGGGCACTGGCGCACAGACACAAAATCGTCCGCGTCCACGCGGGCACCCATGCACCACACACACACATTTGCGCGAGCGCGCATACACACACAGACACACGCACACGCACGCATGCATACACACACGCGCACACACACACACACACACACACACACTCAACTCGCCTTTCTCTGAGATCATTAGAAGCTAGACGATCAACCCCCACCTCCCCGATGCAGAGACACACGCAACCCTTCCAGCCCGTCCAAACAGACTCGCAGAACACCGAGCACCGAGACGTCTCCAGTCGGTCCCGCGCGTTCCCTCCAAACTAACCCAGCGTATAGTTCTGGGGCGAAAAAAAGCAAAAACTCGAGTACATTCAACTTGCTGGTGGGTTCACCAAGTCTGCGGAAAGATCAGAGTAGCGTGGGACCCCTTAGTCCAGCGATCGCACCCTCCGGGGCACGGAGCCCAGCGGGGAGAAAGGTATCTGACGCCAGTGCTAGAAATCGGGTCACTCATCACCCACGAGCCGTGCCACGACCGCTGCGCAGCGGAGGCCCGGCAGCAGGGTCCCGGGAAGCGCAAGGCTCGGGAAACTTTGCAAAAACCACAGCTCGAAAGCCTCGCACAAGAACCCGGGAACACCAAGCCCTCGCCGGGCTCCAGGCTTCCGTTTCCTCCTCGACTGGGGCTGGATGAGGGGGGTAGGTGGTAGGGAGGACTTGGGCCACAAAATTATTATCATTTTTAATCTTAGCGTTGCCTCCTGGGTATCCCCTAGGACGCCTCGAGCTGGCCTCACCGGTGGATGCTGATAAACTTTGTCCTTTCGCTTGCAAACTTAAGCAGCCTCGCCAAAAGCACGGGTCACCGCCCAGGTCAGGCTACGCGGCCGCCCCAAACCTCCCCTTCGCAAATCCCTTCGCCTCGGCCCCTTTCTCCCGAGTCGGGGCGCACCGCTCCCCGCGGGGTCCCCCCGCCCCCTCTCACACACAAACTGGACAGCCTTGCGCTTCAGAGGAACATTCACCGGTGGATCGTGCGCTCTCGGTCCCCGACCACAGAAAGGTCCCCGCGCTCTCACCTTCATTCGCGGGGTACACCCTGGAACCGGTGACAGCGTCGCAAATCCCAAAGAGAAACGAAAAGAGAAGGAAATAGAAAATCCCAGCCATGGTTCACCGGTGCCAACGCTGCTCCTACCGCTTCTATCCCAGTGGAATAAATGCTTAAGTTAGGAGTGCAGCAGGCTGAAGACATTGCCAAGGGGGTGGGCCCGGCCCGTGACGCCCACCCGCCAGTCCGGAGCTCGCCGCCAATGGTCGCAGAGATAGGGAGGCCTGGCCCCGCCCCTATTGAGCAAAGCCCGCCTTGTGTCCCCGCCCCTCGGGGCTCAGCGGGGTGCACGGGCTCCCCAGGCTTGAGGGGGCGAACTCTCTGCGTGGGTGCCCGCCCCCTCCGGAGGGAGGCGACGGGGTCCCCAGACTTCACCTCAGGGGTCCAGCCTCTGGGCAGGGGAAGGAGTTTCGAAAGACTCTGAACTGATCGCGGGGAGCCGGAGGAAGTGTTCGCTACCACCTCTTCCCCCTACGGACGATTTGAGACAGGAAAGGGCCCTTTTACTGTAATAAAATAAATATAAAGTTGACGTGCCTCTTTGCTATTGCTCTTTTCTGAAGGCCGAAGCCTTTGCGTCCCGCGCGCCGGGTCTGGGGCTGCGCACTTACTCCTGAGCACGGCCGAAGCCACCCTCCGCTGCCTTGCCCTGTTCCGTGTCTTTACAGCGCATCTCTATATGTAATGCTCTTTGGAGGGAATTTTGGGGCTTGATTGATCTTTTCTTCCCAGGCTACCTAGATGCCTGGAGAGCGGAGACCTAATCGGTCCCCCCCGTCTAGTGCAGCGCCTAGCCGGAAGCTGGGCTCGGGTACTATGGTCGCTCTGAAACTGAACGAACGATCTTCTAGCCGCGGAGAAGCTCCCCGCTGGCCCCATCTCTGCGTTCACGCCGAGGGTCTCATCCCGGCCCCGACTCCCCGCCGCGGCGAGACGCTCTGAGATGGCCCAGGATGCAGGGAGCCAGCTGCGTGTTTACCGCAGGCAGCGTGGGGTGGGGGGAGGCAGGAGGGGGAAGGCCCTGGAACCCGGCCTAGCAAGTCCCGGGCACCGGGGATGGCAGCCAAGGGCTTCAGGAAGAGTGCGGTGGCCTGCGGCTGCTCGGACCCCGCGAGCCCGAACTCGGGTCCCGGGCGGCGGCTGCAGCTCTGCGCTCCGACCGCTGCCCCGCAGGTCCCGACAGTTCTCCCCGCCCCGAGAGACGGTGCTGGGCAGCGGGACCCGCAGAAATCTGCTCAGCTGCCTCTGCCGAGGTGCTGCGGGGGTCACTGCTGACTCTCCGGGGACGCAGGCACCACTGGGCCCCGGTCCGTCCCGCGTACCCCGGCTGCGGGCGTCCCGGACAGCAAAGCGGCCCGCGGCCCGGGGAACTGGCCCCCGGTACGCCTCGGCGCATTGCTCAGGACGTTTGCAGGGGCCTCGATTCCACACCAGACCTCTTTCTTTCCCTCCTCCCAGGCCGTGCCTCCTCTTGCTACCTCTGGAGTCCGGCCGGGTTTTCCAGCGGAGCCAAGGTCCCCACGGGAGGACGACCCTCCCGGAGGTAGACGCGCCTTTTCTCCCGCGGCGGCTCAACGTGAATCAACTGCGCCACCTGCCGGTCAAACGTCGGAGTGCGCGGCCCTCGCTGAAGGGCAAGCGGACAAAGACCTCATTGCGCAACCCGCAGAGAGGAGGTGTGTTGGTGGCGCTTCTTTTCATCCATCTGCCCCGTCTGGAGCACCCAGGCCACCCCTACTGTGTGGTGGCGGGCGGCGGTGGAGAAAACCCGGGAGTCTTATCGCACTTCTAGCCAACTGGATTACAGAAGACGGAATCGGAAAACATTTCCAGGAGAAACTCATAGTCAACATCCCGGGGCGGGGCGGGGGGCGGCGGGGGGGGGGGGCGGTCGCTGTCCCTGAAAAAGGAATCGTAGATAAAGCGGGAGGGGTGCGGGAAATGTGGAGGAGAGAGCGGTTTGCGGCCACGGTCCCAGGTCACTGGCCTCCGTAGCACACCGTGTCACCGTGGCTGGACCACTGTACTCGTGCAAACTCAGACCCGGGCTAATGAGACGGGCAACTGGTGCTGGAGCGCGCTTGGCGAGGTGCTGGGCAATAGCTGTGAGTCAGTAGACGAGAAAGACGGGCAGCTTGCGCACCTCCAGGCATTTTGGCTTCTCAGTGCAAGACCAGCTCAAATGTCAGAGTCTGAGGAAGTGAATTTCAGTTACTGCAGCTACTGATTTCGTACGAGTAAAAAGGGAGAAAATGCGCACGGGGATGTGTGTGTGTGTGTGTGTGTGTGTGTGTGTGTGTGTGTGTACTATTTAACTGCACGAAGCCCCTTTAAAGAATGCATTTATGGGTTCTTTCCTGCGTTTCCCCCAGTTTCAGAGGAAAAGAAAATGAGTATTGGTCCCTGTGATTTGGCACACAAACTCGAAAGAGAAAAGAGCTATCCGAATTCTATTTAAAACACTTCAAGCAATAGTTGTTGGTTGCCTCTGTGCAAGGGCTTGAGTTTTGCATGCATACGCGGTTGAAATGGGAAATTGGTGGCCTCCTTAAAAACAGTAACATTTCTAAAACATGTACCCACCCGCCATAGGCACTCTGAAGTTTAAACAAAGTCTTTCCAGCCACAGCTGCCTGAAAGCTCGGCTTCATTTGCTAGGGTACATTCAGTGACTTCCCCTTTTTTCTTCCCATTTCCCTTTTTAGGCTTTAGAGCAGCTCAGTAATCTGGAGAGCAAGGAGGCAGGAAATGCTAAGTCTGGAAAACCCAACTATAACTTCCTCCTGAAAGCATTTCCGGGCGGAAGATCAGAAATGAACAGCTGAAAATTCTTCCATCCGTTCTGACTACCTGGGGAAAAAGCGTTCTAATGTAACAGATATTATTTTGCCTACAAATAGGGTAACAATGGAAAAGATGGTGGCCCTGATCCACCATCAAAGCAGAACCTCCAACTTTATTGGAAAATACCCAGGATTTGTCCAACGTTTGAGATAATTTACTACAAATCAATCATCCAATTGAGTCCTAAGCATGCAACAGAATACCATACTTTCAAAAAGTACCTAAATCACCTACTTTTAAGATAAATTAGCTTGACTCTCAGTAAAACAAGTCCCCCAAGTGCTGTGAAAATTCGAGGTCATTTTGAATCCATTAAGAGACATATCAAATACACACACATATGCGCGCACACACACACATATATACTTATAAGCTTAAGAAAAATAGTAATTTTGTAAATTTTCCTTTTCATAAAGTATCTATGACAAAGACTTGAGCTGCAAAGTACATTTTAAAAGCTAAGATGAATTAAGGTTGAATTTTAAAGATATCTCTAATTTCTAGAGACATTTAAACATCTCCCCTAGTGTCTCAGATTTTCCACCTCCAAGTGGAGGGCCAGTTTCACCAGGGTAGTGAGGGAAGGACCTTTGACCTGTGGGCAGAGAAGCACCGGGGAATAGAATGCATGGAGGACTGGAGGAAGGCTGAGAACGGGAATTTGAGCCCCGTCCTTTTACTAGACACTCTGACAGAATTTTTGAAAAGTTTAGCTCAACTTTCCTGGGTGTCAGTCTTTTTTGTCAGTAAAAAGGGGCCTCCAACAGTGACACTGGCAGGACCAGGGCTTTCAAGACAAACACCCCTGATTTCACTTCCAGCTGGTCTTCCACCAGTGGTGTATCATCGGGAAAGTCACCCCGTCTCTCTGAGATATGGCTTCCGGTCGTTATATGATTCCGCTAAAAATTGAATGAATCTTGAAGAACATGGAGTACAGTATCTGACACATGGTTGGCAGTTATTATCCCTGGTAAATGATTGTTCTTTAAGAATTAATAGTTAATAATTTAGTATTAATCCTTTCATTTCATCCACTTAATATTAACACTTAATACTATTAACTGGGAAATCGTTTAGTTACCTGAATCTTCCCTCCCAGGAGGAAACCAGGCAGTGGCATTTACCTTGTGGACTCCAGGACAGGAGGAGGCTCCATTTCATCACCTCCTGGAGTAGGGGAGGGCAATAAACTCTGCTTCTTCTTTTCTTTCATTGTTCACTTATAACAGCTCACATTCAACACCCATTACTAGATGATTCAACTGAATTTGAACCTAGGGATTGCACCTGTTCCCAAAAATAGTAGTTTCAAAAATAATTAAATGGGACAAGATGTGAGGAATCAAAAGTCCTACAACCAAGTCAAATATTGGTGGTAATAAATAACCAAAGCTTTGCCTGATGAAATGTCTACCTTTGTTGGGGGTTGGGGAGGTCGCTCCAAGCCCTAAGATAACTCCCTGAAACATAGCAACCTGGAACCTGGAAGAATTTTTGTTGGGCTTCTTCAAGCCCCCAGGGAACTCTGTGGGAGAGTTCATCCTTCTTGTCAGGGCTTTGATACTATTTCTTATGCAAAAACAAGCAGGGCTCTTGTTAACCCTTCAGTCCTGAATGGGAAAGATGGCCACAGAGCTCAGGTCTCGATGAGTCAGAAGGATGAGAGAGCAAGACATAGGACAAGTCTTTCAGAGTCACTGGGATGAAGAAGGACAAGAAAGAAAGCTTGGGGCTCTCAAGGGGCGAGACTGGTTTCAAACTTGGGTGCTGCACCTAAATTTCAGTTGAGTTCTAACCAACAATTCTCAAGCACCTGCTGTGTGCCAACACCCGGGTTCAAGATGTCAGAGGTTTCTGCTTGGCCCTGAGCAGGCATGACGCGCACCACGAGGCGATGTGAGGGCTGAACACCAGCCATGGGACTTTCAGTTCCCCAGCGGCCCCCAGAGGGAGGTGGCGTGAGAGGAAGGCCCTCAGTTTAGTTCTGCAAAAAACGCTAGAACCCCAGAGTTATACGTGATGTCGAGACAATAAACCTTTCTTCGAGGGAATCCAGAGATCATTCTCATGTTTTGGGCTGCATTAGGAAAGTGAGTTAAATATCAAAACCATTTTGTTTTTTATGCATGAAAGCCATGCCTCCGAAGAAAGGTAAAAATCCTTTTTACTTGAAAGTTTTCGATAGAACATCTATGAAATGGTGTCCACTACTCTAGCTCCAAACACCTACCTGAACCTTTAAGTTACAGCCAT